GTATTCATACAGGAAAGAAAAGTGATTGTCAGTGATAAATGGCAGAATATGTGATTAAATTTGAACTATTTTTAACAACAACATGGATACCCTTATCTCTTTCTCTCTTTATGCCTTTGTCCAAAATCCCTGCCTACTATCTCCATCAGTAGCAGAGCCCAATTTTGATTATATGAAAAACATAGCTGCTCATTAGCCACCTCACATGAGCTACTGGCTAAATATTGTAAAATTTACTATAAAACTGGAAATAGTGAAAGCAGCCACTACCCAAACACATTAATCAGAGAAGTTTAAATGTTAATCACCCTCCACAAATATATTTTGCATTGTGATGTTGAAAATGATGGATACCTACTTGTAGGTTGGCGCCTTAGGGCCCCCACAGGATAATAGCATTGGGTATGAATATTATACTATGGAATAAGCTTAATAAAAAAGAATCTTCTGGTTTAGTCTTATTTTCCACTTTCAAATAATATCCTGGAACTAAAGGTTACTTTCTTGAGATGAACCCTTTGCTAGGCAGGGCCAGAGACTCAGAGATTTTGACTTTCTGCAACTATGATAAATTCCTTAAGTTCTTCATCAGAAATGGGACTGATATTTGATAGCCAAACTGATATTTGTTGTTGTTGATGTTAATCCACACCTAAAGATATTTTTTTCCATTGGTTTTTAGAGAGAGTAGAAGGGAAGGGGGGGAGAGAGAGAAGAGAGAGAGAGAGAGAGAGAGAGAGAGAGAGAGAGAGAGAGAAATATCAATGTGAGAGAGACACACCTATTGGTTGCCTCCGGCATGTGCCCTGACTGGGGCTGGGTATTGAACTTGCAACCCAGGCATATACCCTTGACTTGGAATTGAACCCGCAACCCTTCAGTGTATGGGCCAGTGTTCTAACTACTGAGAAACACCAGCCAGGGCCTCACTGATCTTTTAACTTTTAACTACTATATGCAGTAGTAAAATTATGAAATACTTCCATATCTGCTTATGAAAATCCATATCCTAGACCTTTTACCTTTTGATAAATGTTTTGAAATTTACCCCTAGATGGAAGCTGTGGAATTCATGGTCAAGTTGGAGCACAGGTATAGTGAAATGATCTGGAGTTCAAAGAAAGAAGTTTGAGTTTTAGTTCTGCCACTAATTTGGGATGCAATACTGTAACAGCAGTGAATTATAACCCACCCCACCATTCTTTTGACATTGTTTCTATAAATGCTGACTCTGACTAATAGATAACTTGTAGAATTACAACATGTTTGTATAATAATTCTAGAAACTAATTTCAAATGATACAGACTCCTATCTTCAGTCATCCCAGCCTTGGGAGACTTGCTGACCTTCAACTGTAAAACCAGGATTAAATAAAACCAGGATGGTGAAAAACAGGTTGATGCACATCAGACCATCACTTGACTAGTTTCAACATCCTTATCAGAATGGACTGTGCTGGTCTGCACATAAAGAACTTTTCAGCCCTCTCCCCTTGATCTCTTTGTTCTGCTTTCCCTCTTCCTCCTTATAAAAACGTCTGCCTGCACTAAGATGTTGAGATGGGTTTTGGGACAAGAATCCCCATCTTCTTAGGTAGCTGGTGCTTAAATAAACCACTTTCCTTTAGCAACTGTCTCAAGAGTTTGGCTTTCATTGTGGCAAGCAGCCAAAACTGTGTTTTGGTTACAATACTTGGCAAGCCCCTTAGCTTCTATTTCTTTTTCTTCATTAAATTTTTAAATGACAATAACAATTCTGCTTACCTTGTAGTACTTAAATAACAACCAAATAAGATTGCTTATGATCTCTTTATGTTAACAATAATAATAGAAAACATGTAGGAGTTTTATTATGCATGAGAAATTCTAAGTATTTTATGTCCTTACATTATTTCCTCACACAATATTATTCAGGATAAACTAATAACATTTATGTTTTACAGATGAAGAAACTGTGATTGTAAAAAAGCACCTTACCCAAGGTCATATAAATAGAGTGAGGGATCAATTCAAAATCACTGTGACTCTAGCATTCAGCTAGCTGGTAAAACATTAGAAGAGGTATTAAAATTAGCAGGGCTTTCCTATAACTTTACCTTCAAGAACCAACATAAGTATTTGGACAAAGGTAATCCTGAGTATGACCTTGGTTGCCAGATAATAGAATTTCTTTTTAAAAATATGATTCTGGCAAAACATACACATACACGTCAAAATAAAAAGTCCAGTTTCCTGGTTCATAGACTATTTGTCTATGTCAGCCTCCTAGAACATGTGATGGCTGTTTTAACAAGACCAGGACACACAAATGTTTTTGATCAAACTTTCCAATTTCTATACACTTCTGATGAGCAAATATGTTACAGCCATTTTCCAGGACTTTGTAAGATTCTCTCTGGTCAAGGTGTGTTGCAAGGAAGGGCTCATCTGGCAACATCTGTGAACTTAATGGGAAGCAAAGCATCCTTAAGCATTGAGCCCATATGTTTACTCCACATTGGCTAGTCTCCCCACTGGGAAAAAGACTGAGGGCATGGAAAGTCTCTGTCCTTGAAATATGGTAGGAGCCAATGAACTGAAGCTGACCACAGATCTCAGACAACTACACTGAAACAAATCAGGAAACATGGCAAAGGGAATTCTAGGCAAAGGCTAGCTTAGTCTATAATCTATCTTTGAGGAAAAAGTTTCACCATTATGACCACCCACGATGTAATGGAATTGGTTATAAAGTTTTGTACTTTTCCCCACACTCGATGATACATGCATCCCAATCTTCTTCTCCTATGAATGAGCACCCAGGGTTTTCATGCTCTTTCCCATATTTCTATCTAGACCTATTCTCAAGAAGAAATTTGACCAATTTACTTCCTGGGGGAGAGGAATTACTTAAATGTGTTTCAAGGTCCTGTCCCTCTCAGAGAGTTTATATTTTAATGAGCAAGGCAGCTACTGCCATAGAACCATCCGCTAAAGAAGTAAGTGATGTGATTAGCAAGGTTACAGTTTTCTGACAAATGGATCTGAAATCACATTTATGTAATATGACCCTATCCAACCTATTCTACCTTCTGCTAACTCCTGGAAGTTTCTGAAGATAAATATCAAGCTTACAAAATAAAGACAACTATAAAGCCCTGAATACACACACACACGCACACATACACACACCACTTCAAAATACCTTTTTTCTCTCCTGCTTCTCCCAAATATGAACCTCAAATAAATGACTCACATATGAAGCCTTCCCTGAGTGCCACTGAAGCCTGCTTTTTGTCGGTGCTTCTCCAGTGATGTATACATTCCTCACCTTGTAATTATTTGTTTAGATGTCTACCCATTCATTTGTGAGTTCACAAAGGACAGGAGACATCCTTTATCATCTCTGAATGCCTGGTTCCTAGCTCATGCATCACACATAAACACACTTAATAAACATTAGGAGAATGATAAGTGGATGTGCACCAGAAGTAAGCACAAAGGCTTGTCTGTCTTACTTTCAAAAATGGATTGAAATTAATTGCCTATCTTTAACTACTGTGATGCTTTGACAGGTGCCTGTGGTTCTACCCTGGATGCCATTTGCTTCTAATTTCCACATTGACATTTCAGTACTTTCACCTTCTATTAAATTACCTCCCCATGCAATTGCTGTTACTGTTAATTCTCATAACAATGTTGCTAATAAGGTAGGTCACATGACCAAAGGAACAACTCATCTACCCCATAGTAGTTTAGCCTAGCCAACTTCATCCCAGCTCAGCCCATCTTCCAGAAGACAGGAATGTCGGGAGCACACACAGGAGCTGCCCAGAACTCCCACCAGAGCCCCATCCAACCTCATAACTCCCTGCTTCCAAATGGCGCACCTGTTGCATTGGGCCATCTTTTATTTTGACATTTAGGGTTGTTGTTTTTTAATGAATTCCATTTTGGGTTTGTATAGTGCAAGGCCTTCTGTTTCCAATAGATTTCCTTTTGTCAATCATCCACTTCAAAATAGTCTCTTCAGCTTTCACTTTATTTCCTTTCATCTTCTCATTCATAAATCTTAAAAGCTGTTTTACATTAGTTATTTTTAAAGAATAATCCAGTCCACTTCCTTTGTCAATGTATTTGCTGTGTAGCCTGAGCAAACACAATGTTGAGCTCCAGTCTTCCTTATGCTGAAGGTCTTTCTCCCAATGCAAATGTATACATGTACTTGGAGGGACTTCTAAGACTCTATATAACTGAAATCTATTTAATATATTTGGGGAAGTTTGGGGTAGTGTGTGAGTTGGTTTAAAACTGGCAGAAACAGGTAATGTGCTCATATTAGATTAAAATAATAGTTATTTTTATCCCTCTGTCTCTTATTAGATTAATTTCATCAACAAACATTTATTGAAAATCTGCTATATGTCATGTACCACGCTGGGCACAAGTTATTGCACATGGAGCAAAACAGACATAATCCTCCACCTGATAGTACTTACAGTCAGTGTGGAAGACTGATGACCACTAAATAAGCAAATAAATAAATGAAGTATATTAGCCCCTTGCAAGATAGGCTAGATTCTGCTGCAAGAATTTAAAAAAAAGGTATCAGGGGTTATAGCAACAACCCCTGTCATTCTCATTATGGGTCCTTAGTGGGTTGGCTGGGCAACTGCTTAATATAACACTCTACAATTGATTATCTATTGCTATGCAACAAATCACCCCAAACTTCCCAGCCAATATGGCTCAGTGGTTGAACATCGACCTATGAAACGAGAGGTCATGGTTTGATTCCTGATCAGGACACATGCCTGGGTTGCGGGCCCGATCCCCAGTGTGGGGCATGCAGAAGACAGTTGATCAATGGTTCTCTCTCATCATTGATGTTTCTATCACTCTCTCCCTCTCCCTTCCTCTCTGAAATTAATAAAAAGACATTCTAAAAAAGAAAAAGATAGAAAAGTACCCCAAACTTAACTATTTAAAGCAACACACATTTATCTCCCAATTTCCATAGTCAGAAATCCAGGTTTGTCCAAGTTGCATACTGAAGACCACATATGGCTCATCATCTTTTTTTGCTGCCACTGGAAACAACTTCAGCCCCCTACCCCCTACTCCAGACTGCAATCTGAAGGTACAGTAGAGACTGTGGTTGTCTACCTGAAAACACTTAGGTCTCTTTTATGGTTCTGCACCTATCCTCCTACTTTGCTTCTTAGGGCTCACACTCTGCAACTTTATTCAGAGGATTAGTGAGAACCAGTTGTGCTTGGCAGCTCTGTCCCTCCATGGCAGCCTGCAGCCAGTGTCTACTGCAGCGGTGGGGGGCAGGCGGGAGCTCAGCTTCCTTACTTCAAGTGGGACAAAAGCTTTAAGCTTTAGAGCTTCCTGCAGAATCAGGCTGAGTCTGGGACTTCACTAGCAATTTCCACCTTGCTCAACTTCTCCCTCTCTGCCTTGCTTCTCTAGTTCCTCGTGTTGTGACCCAACCATAAAATTATTTTCGTTGCTACTTCATAACTGTAATGTTGCTACTGTTATGAATCGTCATGTAAATATCTGATATGCAGGATGGTCTTAGGCGACCCCTGTGAAAGGGTCGTTCGACCACCAAAGGGGTTGCGACCCACAGGTTGAGAACCGCTGCTCTGGAGGAAGATGCTTGATGCTTGATGCCACTAACTGGGCTACCCAACATCCTACCTTCTTCCCCAAAGACCAAGGACATCAATACCTACGACACATATATGACTGGCACACTCTGGGGAAGCTCTGGGCTAGAGAACCAATTTTGTGTCAATACACCGTGTGCCAAGAATCATGCGACATGCAATAGTGTGCAGCCTCAGTCCTGTTGGCCTATCAGCAAAGCGAGATGATCCACGTGTTCCCGAAGTTGACACGGATGGCACACCACATCCTCATTTGTAATTTTAGAAAAGAAAAAATGTATAACAGATGTACAATTATTTGTAGGCTCTTCCAAGTCACTTTTGCCGATGCTGCCTAATTTTTTCAGGAAGTGATTTGAGTTGGCATGTGTCCTCCAGCCTTTGCAGTTTGGGCTTCAGCGTGTAGACAAGGATGGTGAAGACATTAACAACTTTATTTAAAGGAGTTGCATCTTATTTTAAAGACAAAACAGGAAGTCCCTGATTTTGCTGACAGACTTCTGGTGTTTGAATTCTATTTAAAGTGAGTTATGAAAAAAAAAATAAAGCCTATATTGGGAAAAAAAGCTACAAATAGCTTCATGAGCCTTGTGTAATGAACTAACATCTCATTATTCTGATAAGAGTTTTTTTCCAACTTGTGGATAATTCAAAGCAAATGCTACTTCCCTTGAACGTCTTGTTGTTCTTTAATAAAAATAACTAAATCTTAGTTCATTGAGCCTTGCTTATTTTTTTTTCCTGCTTCTCTGATTCATTAAGTTTCACTGTAAAGTTCAAATAGAGCTAAGAATTGTGATAACTAAAAGTCAGCAATAGGCTGAGAACTACAGCTTAAGTGTAATTATATTCCGCCCTCTCTATTCCCTGCTGCAGGTTTTAATAATAGTAGTTAGGCTGGGTGTTTCTTTCTGCAGTTAATCAAAACTACTTCCCAACGAGACTGAACTTTGCTTTTTCCACATTTAAACTGCAGCTGTTTTTCATATGGTGGTGTTCCAGAAAGGATCTGCGATCTCCCAGCCCCATGAGAAGGTGGGCAGGGTATGAGAAGGTTCTGTCATCTACCATTTCCTGCCTTTTCTGTTCCTGGAACACTCAAAATGAGACGATAAGTAGTTTTGTCCTTAAGAAAATTCTTTCCTCCACCTTTTCCTCTGTCTAAGCAGTTAAACACTCAACAACCAGTTTTTGGCTACTTATCTCTCCTGCGGGGAATGAGTGCTAAGGAATATTTCCTGCTATGTTCAGGCTTTTACCAGAACAATGTGACATTGGCAGTGACAGAAGCAATCACATCTTTCACTCAACAGATACAGTGTCCAGCGCCTCACCTGGGTCCATGGGCTAGCACGGAGGGAACAGAGATGAACAAGCCTAATTCTTCCACTTGACAAATTCACAATTTCATGGGGGTCAGAGAAAAATAAGCCAGGATTTTCAAAACAATGAGATTCATTACTTAAAAGAAATACATGTGACTTAAACACAGTGGTTAAGTAACTTGCCCAAGTCATATATTTTTAAAACTTGAAACTGAAACATTACACTCCCAAGCCCATGTTTTTCCAGAACCATTTCACACTGCTTTTCTACTAAGTAGTTATTCTCATTGTTTGAAAATACTGGCTTATTTCACATGGAAGAATTTTAGTTTTGTTCATCTCTGTGTCCTCTGAGTATCTTAGTCTCCAAGTCTGGGAAATAAAGATAAGACCTTGGTACACTCATATTAAAGTATCATTGGTTCTATATACTCTATCTAATAAGGTGGTAAGGGGGAGAAAAAAACTATATTAAATGTACACATGGCTAAAAAATGCTATAATTGCTGAAATTAAAATGTGAACACATATGAAAATAACTATGAAAGTAATATAAGCAATGCCTCAGGAGATTGTTGTGAGGATAATTGAGAGCTTTTATAAAGAATCTTGCACATTGCCTAATACATAATAGGCATTTTATAAATAGCAGATCTTATTTCCATTACTGTTACTGAAGTAAAAATAGTATAGTTAGATATGAGGAAGGGGCTTAACTATCTAACTCATAGATAAAGCTTTACAGTAGCAGTAACACTTAATCTGACTCTTCAAGATTTACTATTTAACTTGATACAAAAAGGAACTGCATTTGAAGCAAAGTTTACAATAGAGAGGCACACTCATATGTAGTTTTCTGTGAACCTATAGTAGCTCGTGATGGCTAGACGTTAAAATGTGTACAAAAATAATAACAAACACCACAGGAGCTGTCAACAGGGCTGGGTCAGGAAGGGCCATGAGTGGGCCATGGGTGGCATGACATAGAATTTGGGATTCCAAATGAAAAATGAATATAGGGCAAAAAATACCTGAAATTAAACTTCTCTATACATTTCATTGTTGCCATTGAGAAAGAAAATTCATTTATTTCATTCCCCAGATGCAAATATCTCAAGAGTTCTACTGTTTCAACACCTTAAACAATATGGTAATTCCACAGCGAACTGATGTCTTCCAATTCTAGTGAGCTTAAGAAGTCACAGTCATTTCTTACCAGAGCTCATTTGATTCTGTGGGATGGGTAGGACAGAATATATTATATATTATTTCTGAAGACACTGATGCTGGGCTGATGACTCAATGACTCTCCTGAGATCTTATAGCTAGCAAGTGGCAGACTAAGGTTCACATTCATGTCTTTGGACTTCAGATCAGAAGTCTATCAGGCCTCTTTGGAAAGAACTTTCCTGGGTCTTTTGTCATATTAGAATTGGGCTGGTCAATTTCCTCTTCCTGAACACAGTTTGCCTCTGGAACTTTGCTCACACAGAAAATACCCCTAACACCCCTTCTTATGACTTTATATCCAAAATCTGACTATCAGAAAAGAGATAACTCAAGTCCTTCCTCATCTGAGAAGACTTCTCTTCTCCTTCCAGCCCATAGAGGACTTTCTCTGTGGCACCTCCCTATGTATCAAGACTAAATTCTTACACTATTATTCACCACGCTTTCTTTTCCTCTATTTTATTCCCAATACTTTCCCCCTAGTCATTCAAAGGCATCAACCTTACCTTGAATAAAAGTATAATTTTAGAGCAAGAATTTTTTTTTAAATATAAGAAAGGCTTAATGCTTATTTGTATTTTTATCCTTCAAAATAGGCTTTTGATTCTGAAGACAGTACCATGTAAAATATAGGCTATAAAAATAAGTTAGAAAATGAATGACAAAAAAAGCCAGATAACCCATTCCCCAATTCCCACATCTGTACTCAAGGGGAAACTGTTGGTGGACTATGTGAAATGTCAGCATGGCCGGTGTTTTGGGAATGCCAACCAGCATGAATGACCAGCACTAAGGTTATATGTGGACATTTTTGGTCATTCAAGGAGAAGCCAAGTTAGAGTGATTTCGTTGTAGTAATGCGTGGACATCTGTCAATTTCCCTCCTTAGTTGCCAATGAATTATCCGGAGGAAATCCACCAGGCCCTGGGACTTTCCTGAAGTTCATTAGAACTGACCAGAGTCCTCTGCCAGTGGTTCAGGATAATATAAAAGTACCTGGAACTGCATGCTGCTGTGGAACTGGCCCAGAAGAAAGAATTACCTATCTCCACCCAAATAAATAAAATGGGGGGTTTTCAATTTTAACTCTCAGGAGATGATGTGGAGAGATGTGTAATGTAAGGTTCAGTTTAATAAAAATTAGTTGGTTCTGGAGAATGGTGAGACCCAACCCCATTACAGTTCTTAACTTCCATATGGTTATTAAAATTTTCGTATATTTATGTTTCACTCCACAACTTCACTCTCTCTCTTTCTCTTTCTCTTTTTCTCTCTCTCATTAATAAACATATCCTTGGGTGAGGATGAAAAGATAAGAAAAAGAAAAGAAAAGAAAAGAAAAGAAAAGAAAAGAAAAGAAGAGAAAGAAAGAAAA